ATGGGGAATAAACTGGGATATCACTGTGGCCACTACAGACATCAAAAAGATAGTAAGGGAGCACTACAAACAATTTTATACACAAATTTGACAACTTAGATGACATTGACCAATTTCTTGAAAAACACAAATTACTAGATTTCACCCAAAATGAAATACATTATTTGAATAGGCCTACAGCTATTCAGAAAATTGAATTAATTTTTAAGTCCTGCAAAAGAAATCTCTAGTTCCCAGTTGGTTTCACTGGAAATCCTACCAAAGAAAAATTAATACCGACTATACAATCTTCTCCAGAAAATAGAAAAGAACACTTAATATTTTATGAAGTTAGTATTACCCTGATAAAAAACCAAAGACAATCCAAAAACAAAGAAAAAAACTACAGAAGAAAAAAACTACAGGCCAATACCCCTCATGAATATATATACAAAAATCCTTAACAAAATGTTAGCAAATAGACTCTAGCAACGTAAAAAATTATACACCATGACCAAGTGGGGTTTATTCTAGGAATGCCAGGCTGGTTCAATATTTGAAAAACAGTCTAACCGCCACATTATCAGACTAAAGAAAAAAAATCCTAGCACTTGATGCAGACAAAGCATGTGAAAAATCCAACATTCATGATAAAGACTCAGAAAATAGGAATAGAAGACAAGTTCCTCAACTTATTAAAGCACATCTACAAAAAACCTACTTAATGGTGAAAAACTGAATGCTTTCCACTTAAGATCAGGAAGAAGGCAAAGATGTTTGCTCTCACTATTCTTATAGTGCTGAAAGTTTTAACCAGTGTAATAAAGCAAGAAAAGAAAATAAAAGGCATACAGATTGGGAAAGAAGAAATAAAACATTCCCTATGTGTGGATGACCTGATTGTAAAAAATCCTAAGTAATGTATTTAAAAAAAAACCTCCTAAGAACTAATAAGTGAGTCCAGTGAGGTTACTGAATACAAGATTTACAGGGGAGGAAGGGAGTGGGAAGGGTTAAATTGGGAGTTCGAGATTTGCAGATACTAACTAATACATATAAAATAGATAAACAACAAGTTTATATTGTATAGCACAGGAAGCTATATTCAGTATCTTGTAGTAACTTATGGTTAAAAAGCATATGAAAATGAATATATAAATGTGCCTATATGACTGAAATATTGTGCTGTACACCAGAAATTGACACAACATTGTAAACTGACTATAATCCAATAAAAATATATATAAATTAAAAACAAAAAATACAACAATAAACTGCTTAACTCACACACACACACACACAAAATGCATATGAAGACCATCCTCTTGGACTCTTGGACTTCATTCTGTGACCAGCTGAAGGGAACTCTGCTTTTCAAGGACTCATGTAATCAGTATAGGCCCACTCAGATAATTTCCTTATTTTAAGGTCAACTGTGCCATGTAACATAGCTTAATCACAGAAGTGAAACCATCATCTTCACAGTCCTGGGGATTCCTCAGGGTAGGAATTTCCTGGGGTGCAGGAAATCTTGGGGGTTATCTTTAGACTTCTGCCTACCCCACCACCTGAAAGGGGTACAAGAGAGACATTAATATGGGACAGGAGGTTACATTTGAGCACTGCTCTGTGCTAGGAAGAGGGGTGTGTGTCTTGGCAGTTGAAGGGCTTGGGGCACATGCCTCACGAAGTCTTCTCTTTTCCAAGTAAACATTCCCCCACAGCCTCAGCTACTCCTTGTATGAAATGGGCCTCTTCCAGACTTCATTACTGCTTACTAGGAATAGGGGGAGTGAAGGAAAGACATAAATTTGCTTCAGACCAAAACAGCTTGTGGTCAGTGCCTTAATGTGAGGTGGGAAGCCCCATGAAAAACGGCGGACAGGGCCCCCCAGGCAGGGGCCACTACCTCTCCTGCCCAGCACCACTTTGGTTCCCGTGTCCCA